ACAGTTGCAGAATGAATGCCCAGACATTGATTAGTTACAATACGTTTGGATAATAAATAGAATTTCTATAAATTTGAATAAAATAAATTTTTTTGAAAATGTTTGGACAATAAATATACATTACCCTTTTACTAAATATGATGGGAATAAGAGGTGCTCGACTACATATGATGGTGTTCAATTCAGTTCTTATGCTTTGTTGAGGCAATATGATGTGCATGTGGCAGAGTGGGATCTTGCCCAAGCTAATCCATTGAAGAGACGACGAGACTCCAACAATGGGGCTACTCGAACTAGTCCAACCATTTTCGTCCCACCTATTACTCCTGCTCATCATATATTAGTTCATTTCGATGGGGCAATTAAGCCTTCAACCGACGGTGTTGTTGGAGGTATAACAGGGATGCCCATTCTATGGCAAAACAAGCCCTCTTATCAAGGGTTCAGATTCTTCTTGATCATCTCCCTCTCCTTATTTCTCTTGTATGATTACTTGAAAATTTCCATATATATTAGTCTTTTTGGTCTTCCCCTAAAAGGTTGCCTTGTAGTCCGTCTTTGGCCATTAGGTCTTATTTTTGATTATTTAGTATTATAGGTTATCGTTTTAATGATTCTCTTTCCCACGTGGGAGAATTTGTTACAGGTAGTTCATCTTCTGAAGAAGAAGTCTGTTTCTTTTTGTCATGTTGTTATGAGAATTTTTTGCTCTGTGTTTCAGGAGTTTGGTTCAGGATTTTAACTCTGCAAAGGATAGAGGTTTAGCCACACAGTGGTGGCTGTGTGTGTTTTGGATTTGCAGGTGAACCTCTTACTGCTTTTCGGCTAAAGCTGCAATTCGTACAACAATGTGTCGTCGAGAAATGGGATTTATTCTATAGTGGAGGATACAGATAAGGGAAGAAGGAGGCAGGAGAAGGAGAGGGATCTCACTCATTTGCTTTGTTTATAGCTACTTGGTGGAAAATTGTTCAAAGGCACTAGCCCATCGCTGTTGTCGCCTGTAATGTTGTTGTCTACTTTTCTAGCTTCTGTGTTTATTCATTTTGCAAGTGAACCTCCTTATATAGAGCGTGAGTCGTCCTGCCAGATCTATAAGGATTTGCAGCTCTGCTTCAATTTTCAGCATGGTTAGTTCATGATTTTGATCCTTTTAAGGAGAAGAAATGCGGTTTTGGTTTTAACTGAACCGCAAACGCGGTTAACCGCGGCCGAGAAGCATCGGGAAACCTCAACCGCCACCGATTGCCTTTTCGGTTAGCCGAAAACTGCCATCGACGGTTTTGGGTCGGTGTCGCAGTTAGTTGAAACCGACAGGATCGCGGGGCGAGGGAGGACGAAGGCAGGTGGTGCGATGATGGCGACGGCTGACGAAGGCGCGATGGTCGATGATTACTGGGACTGGGAGCAGGAGGACGAAGACGGCGGTGGGGACGCCAGGCAGGGTGATGATGACGGCTGGCGGCAGGGACGCCGAGGAAGGTAAGGGTTCGGAACTCGGAAGGGAAGCGGCGGGTGGGTCGTTTTGGGGAAAACCTGGCATGTTTGGGGAAGAGACGAAGGTGGTAGCGGCTAGCGGGTAATTTTAACAAAAAGCATGGGGCAATTTAGTCATTTTTCGGGCTAGGGGTAATGGGGTATATAGTCTCTTTTAATAATACCCACATCAAACTCTAAGCGCCGCAGCAGACCGCTCACCCTTCTTCCTTGTCTCTCTTCAGTTCTTCCTCCCAAGAAAATAATATGAACAAACTTTCTTACCCTATCTCGCCGATCTCATCTTCTCTAAAACTTCTCGATCTGCCTCTCCGTTTGTCCTTCTCTTCCATCTCGATTCAACTTCATTCTCTCTAGTGCCGATCCGTTCCACCAACTCCCTCTCTCGCTCTCTTTTCTTTCTTCCAGATTGCGGGGCGACGACAGTTTTGCAGGTTAACCGCCACGATTGCGGTTATTCACCGGTAACCGCCGGGTATGCGTAAACATCAACCGACGCTGACAACGCATGCATATAATTGGTTGTCGGTTATCCGATTAACCGACTTTTCGATGCGATTTTTCTGTTAAACCGCATAACCGGCCACCGATTAACACCCTTAACAGTAAAGACCTATTTTTTCATACCTGCAAAGATCTTTTCATTTTTCATTTGTGATTTGACCTGCAAAGGTCATGTATCTACTTCTACTCTACTATACTTATAATACGCCGAAGGGAAAAACGGGAGCCCCATTTCAAATTTCCTACAACAAGAGTGAAAGTAGGAAGGATATTTTGGTCTTCACAATTACTTTTTTTTATTCATTAAAAAGATAAGTACTGGGATTCGAACCATGATCATTTTAAAGAAAGACATGGATCATAACCAATCACAATAAGTACATTTGTTGTATCCTTTTAAATTTAAAACATATAATAGCAGGGTGGAAAAAACTCTTCCCCCATTTCAAATTCCCCCGTTTGTAGGAAGGGTAGAATAGGGAGTGTCAATTTTTTTCTCTTTCCTCTGTGGAACGGGTCAACTTACCATACACATGCGGATTTAAACGGGTCCAGGAGTGTCAATTTTTTTCTTTATACCCTTTTATTTCTCCGTGGTGATAAAATATATATGAAAAGGCAAAAACAATACTTCTTTTTATTGCTAAAAATAAAAAATTTAACAATAAACTAATGCATGGTATCTAATGGGCTAACCGCTAACCATAAAATAAAAGAGTTGAATGAGGCTGACCTACACGGGATTTGGCCATCAAGTAAAACAAATGAACATCATTGATTTGACATTCTAAAACAAGCTATTTTCTCTGGCATAATATATAGGGTGCGCCTACGGTGACATGCATGTCACGGTGACTTGCACTTTCCGGTCGACCTCAGTTAGGATTAGGTCGACCTCATTTAGGATACGGTCGACCTCATATAGGATCAGGTCGACCTCATTTAGGATTCGGTCGACCTCATATAGGATCAGGTCGACCTAATCTGTTGTTTCAGTGTAAAAACAGTTCATGGTGTCTAGTTTGGAGATTCATATCAAACAATTGGCTATATGGAAATTGAAGACTAATGACTTGTTTTGAAGCTGGAGTGTCCCTCTACATATTGAAGTGATTGAGAGCTCGATAGGAAGTCCAGAAGACCATTTTTGAACCTCATCAAAGGCTATGCCAAAACCGGGAAACTGCCTGGAAATGGCTAAGTCTGGAAACGTGTTTGTGAAGCCTATTTTGGAGCACAATTCGAGAAGCATGAATGCGAGTCGAGTCCAGGAGCCTCTACCACGTTAAATTAGGTATGTTTTTATACAAATTCAAGTCATTGGATGAAAGATTGGATATCTGTAAGGCTTCAAACAAAAGGGTCGAAGTTGCTACGAAGGCTGTTTTCTGGCAGACTTCGAGCACAAGCAAGCTGCCAGAAAAACAACCTTCGTAGCAACTTCGAGCCTTTTGTTTGAAGCCTTAAAGATATTCAATCTTTCATCCAATGACTTGCCTTTGTAGAAAAAAATACGTAATTTAACGTGATATAGGCCCCTGGACTTGACACGCATCCATGCTTCTCAAATTGAGCTCCAAAGTAGGCTTCACAAACACGTTCCCAGACTTGGCTATTTTCAGGTAGTTTTCCAGTTTTGGCATAGGCTTTTAATCAGGTTCAAAAATGGTCTTCTGGACTTTCTATTGAGCTCCCAAGTACTTTAATGTGTAGAGGGACACTTCAACTTCAAAACAAGCCATTAATCTCCAATTTCCATCTAGCCAATTGTAAGATATGAATCTCCAAAGTAGGCACCATGAAACTGTTTTTACACTAAAACAATATATTAGGTCGACCTAATCCTATATGAGGTCGACCGAAAAGTGCATGTCACCCTAGCAAAGTCCTAATATATATTATGCTATTATTTTATATCTTAGTGGCTAAAATATAATGTATTTTAAAGTTATTCAATGGTTCAACCTCGACCAACCCAAGTAGTCCAATTTTTATCATTTTAAATATATATTATATAATTATTTGATATCATAATGATCAAATTATAATGTATTTTATAGGGAATCGTTTGGTATTTGTTAGTAAAAAACTAAACAGAAAGATCTATTTGGTTATTTTAAACATTAAAAAGATCCTAAACATTTTCAGTTCCTTTTAAATTTCTATGGTTTTATTCCCGAATAAGTGACGTGCAAATGGCGAATTGCAGTCATCTCTTTTCTTTCACTATTTAATATTTTCAAATAGAAAGTTTAAAAGTAACGAATAATTAGAATTTGGCATGGGTCGGTCAAACAGGCTGAATTTTAAGTTTTGACCCGTTTTGATCAAGTCTAATTTATAATCACATGGTTCCCTGATACTCAATAAAAATCTCAATCCAAACCAGTTTGGCAGGTTAGTCCGTGTTTACCACCATTTTCTAGGAATACGACAACGGCGGTTCCTATCCCAAATCGTGTTGTTCGTTCATGATTTTCTTAGATTTTATCATGGCCTGAAAAAAACCAGAAATCACAATGACGATAAGATGAAAGTTTTATAAAACAAATTAATGGTGTTCTCTTTCTGATCTCATGTAATTATATAATGAAGTTGAAATTTTTCGATGCTATTCAATTTCATTGGTATGTTTTTAATGGTCTAACTTCATGGTTGTACCAACTTCTGATGTACTGTTTATGTTCCAATATATTCACTTTGGTATGATTATTAGGGATATGCTAGGCGATACTCACCATTAGGCCAATTTAGCTTAATGGTTGAATCTACGGGTTATCCCAATAATTCAATATTCGGCTCAGCTCCTCCGACCAACGGGTCGGATTATAAGCTAGTATTGTTATATACTTCGTATCTCTTGTTATCTTAGGGATATCCATGGCAAAAAAAAGAAAAAACTATGATGGGAATAAAAGCAAAACAAACTAGTGTTCTTGAGACGTTTCCATCTTATAGAGCGACGAGGCCCACTAGGGCCAGAATATCATTCAGAGAAGGCCCAGTTTATGGGCCTCACTCGCTTGAAAACCCAGCCGTTTTCTCGTCACCCGCTCCAGGTGGTTACTGTTAAGTAACTGCTAGTAGAACTGCCGCCATCCACTGGAAGAATCCCGTGGCGACTGGAAAATTTCAGCCATGGTTGGAAAGCTTGACAGAAATGGATAAACTTCGCCTGAAATCCTAGCTGTCCCGCCGGAAAACAAACAGCAACAAAAGTATTCATGCCGATCGCTTCCTCTTTCTCTATCCTCCGCCACCGCGCTCCGTCCCTCCACCACCAACATTTCCTCCTCCGCAGCTTAGTCGGGTTCCGCCGCGGCAACAACCTCTCAATTGCGGCGGCCAAACCGCAGCAGCAGAAGCCGCACAACACCTCGAGGAGGCCTCCGCCGAGCAAGAATTTACTCAGAGCCAGAGAAAAGTTGAAGGAGTACTCCTCCCTAGCTCCGGTTCTCTCCCTCGATGAAAAACCTAATCTCGCCGATTCTCAGGCGATCGGCACCGTCGCCGCGGCCCAGGCCAACTTCATGCGCGTCGTCGTCCAGTCCGAATCCCCGCCGAGCTCTGATGGGGGCGGAGGAACCGGGGTGGAGCTTCTGTGCGTGGTGAGGGCGGTGCTGAAGAAGATAAAGAGAAGGGTCATGGTTGGGGATAGGGTTTTGATTGGGTCGATTGATTGGGTGGATCGCAGGGGAATGATTGAGAACGTGTTTCGTCGGAGCAGCGAGGTTCTGGATCCTCCGGTGGCGAATGTCGATCACTTGCTGGTGCTTTTCTCCATGGAGCAGCCCAAGCCTGAGCCATTCTCGTTGACTAGGTTTCTCGTCGAAGCTGAGTCCACGGGAATTCCATTGACCCTGGCTTTGAACAAGACGGAGCTCGTTGATTCTCAGGTTAGCTAACTGAAACATTATTCTTCAGCCCTGAATTGAGTGAATTGACATTGGAACGAGCAGAAGCTGGAATGTGGATTGTTCACTTGCCCTTCCAGTTTCTTTGGCTTTCCTTAAACTTAATGTTGGGTTTTCTTTCTCAGGCAGTTGATGCTTGGAATTCCAGGCTTCGTGAGTGGGGTTATGAGCCTGTGTTTTGTAGCGTTGGAGCCAAACATGGACTCGATACTCTCTCGTCGATTCTGAAGGACCAAACGACGGTGGTTGTAGGTCCAAGTGGGGTTGGGAAATCGAGCTTGATCAATGTTTTGAGAAGCAATACTCATGGTGGTGACAATTCCGCAGAGGGGGAGAATTGGTTTGAACCAGTGAGTTATCATCTTCAATCTTCTGTGATGTCAAGTCATTTTAGCAGTTCATCGAGCATTTTGGTTACATTTCGGGTTTGATCTTTGATATCAGCTATTAGGTAGCAAGTGGTCCGATGAACAACGAGTTGGGGAAGTTTCGATGAGAAGTGGCAGAGGGAAGCACACGACTCGTCATGTTTCGTTACTCCCGCTATCTGGTGGAGGTTATTTGGCTGATACTCCTGGGTTTAACCAGCCGAGTTTGATGAAAGTAACTAAGCAGTCTCTGCAGCAAACTTTCCCTGAGGTAGGATCCAAAGTTAAGTGATGCAAGTCTTTAGGTAGGAAATTTGTTTAACAGAATGTTTGGTCTTTTTGACTCATTCTGTTGCAGATAAGGGAAATGCTGAGAAGCAACGAGCTCGAGAAATGCTCTTTCAACGATTGCTTGCATCTCGGTGAGCAAGGGTGCATTGTTACTGCAGACTGGGAGCGGTATCCTTTTTACCTTCAGCTTCTGGATGAGGTCAGAATCAGGGAAGAGTTTCAGCTGAGGACTTTTGGTACCAAGAAAGAAGGTGATGTAAGGTAATGTGGTCACTAAGACAAGCTGATCGATGTCTGCTGCACATTCTCCACTGCCTTTGAAGATTTTACATTGGCATAGAATGAAATCTCAAAATATTGATCCTATGTTTTCCTTTTTTCAGATACAAAATGGGGGGTATGGGTAAGCAACAAGCAGAGCCCCGACTGGAGCCTAAGAAGCATAGAAGGCAATCTCGGAAGAAGATCAACCAGTCATTATTAGACGAAGTGGACGAGGCCGCTGAAGATGATGAAGACAGCTTGTTGGATGAGAATGATCCGTTCTTGAAGGCACTAAGGGAAGAGTATGAACAATAGCAGTAGAGAACACCCAACTTAATACCATTGAAGATTACTATCTCGTCGCTCGTTAACACTTAGTTTTGGGATGCAAATGCCGTGGAACAGAACAAATTCTTACTACTGTATCAGCTGTTGTGTAAAAGGATACTGCTGCAACCCGTGCATCCTTGATGGAAAAGAGTGGCTTTAGCTGTGGAGTCGGATCAAATGTAATCAATCTGTTGGGAATTTGTACTCATAAACTCGATCCCGACCTAACTATGGAGTTTCGATGTATACTACTACCTAGCAATTTCAGCCCCAAATTAACTTAACACCCCAATTCCTAATATGGAATTCAACCTCGTAGTAATAGATATTGAGAGAACTAACCTCCTAGAGGATTAATCCATCCTAAGGGAAACAACCCAGAACCAGAAATCAGAAAGTGAGAAGCATAGCTATGGAAAAGATCATTCTTGTGATTCTGTGTGTTCAAAGGCTGAAACTTCGGAAAAGTTCATGACGAATTCCCCCAAACAAAATGTCGCCACACAAATACTTAGTTATAGTTTCTATCGAACTCATCGATTCATTATCCCCCTAGCAGAGAATTCTAGTACAAAGCAGAAAATTGAGAAACCCTACTTCTTACTTCTTAGACTTGTTCTTCTTGGAAGCGACGGGCTGGGGCGGCGGCTTGGGGTGCTTGTCGGCCTCGAGGGGATCCAGCCAGCGGAGAGGGTGGCGATTGAAGCCAGGCCAGTTGGGGACTACGATCAAGGCGGTGAGAACGATTCCGCCGGCGTAGATCAACATCATAGTTTGAAACGATCCCATGATGTAACCGGTGAGGAAGGCCATCACGGCGGAAGCCAGTAACATCAGCTGCATCAGCTGCTCCGCCACCTTCTGCCCCTGCCAATCCATCTGCAAGATCGAAATCCCATCCAGAAACAAATGCTCAAAATCCAGAGAGAGGATAAGAGGATCGTCTTCGATTTCTAGGGATAGCGAAAGCGCGAAATCGAGTCCAAAGGAATTGGGAAGAGAAATTCATTGACGGGAGCGATGAAGCGCTCATAGGGTAAGTGAGTGAAATTCCGGTAGAGGAAGGCGGGAGACTTACTGTCGTGAAAGAAGAGAAGAGATCGGCGGCGGCGGTAGAGGAGATGTGAGCAACAGCGGCGGCTATCAGAGAGAGCGATGAGATGGGGAAAACGAGTCGGGGACCAAGTCCTGGGATAGTCTACGACTCTTCTAATCTTCTTCCCTTTGCCCAGGGAAAATAAAAACAAATGAATAAATAATTGGGAAATATTCGTGAAATCTGAACAGAGAAAATTGGATCATGGCCCGTGAGATTAGAGTTCTTAGTGGGTCGAAGGCCCATTAGAGGATGCAATGTCGAAAGCCGTAAGGGGCAGAGATGATAGTTGAGATACAAATCACTTGTGGGCTGTGGCTGGCTAATGGTTAATAGCTACTGTTAATATCTACTGTTGCTGACTGCGGATAATCATAATACACAATAAAACCACGATAGAAAAACTCTACCATTAGGGATGGCAGGTCGGGGGCCGTTAGTGGTTACCCGTCCGAAGATCGCCCGATTAAGGTCCAAGCAGTGTGGTCTTAAGGCCCGTCAACGAGTGGCGGGGAACCCGAGACCCGTCAACACTGGATTTCAAATGGTGCTGGGTTGTAAACTATCCGCCCCACGATCCGCCCGACGAATTACCCGTCTATCAAAACGACGCCGTATTGAATAACCATTTATATATTCCACTTACCCTTTAGAAGAAACCCTAGTAGCCGCCTCCATCCTCATTCTTCACTTCCCGAATCGAAAATCCGAAACCTTAGTTTCCTTCTTTCTCTCTGCCTCCTCTCTGGCGATTAGCGATCAGATCGCTAGGATATCGCGATCTGGCCGATTTTTTGCCTTTCCCCTCATCAAAATCGCCAAATGTCGTCTAGTTTTCTTAGGATCAGTCTCCAATTTGTCCATTCGACCAATTGCATGGCTGGAAGAGCAACCACCCGACGACGATTTCGTCGAGCACAGTCCAGAAACGACTCATTTGGAGTTCAAATTGCCAAATCTTTGATAACAGATAAGTTAATTAAGATTTCTTTTCTTTTCTGACGATTATCTTCCTTGTATCCTCAAAATCTGTACTAAATCTTGACTCTTGCACAACTATATATAGGGGGAATTTCAGAGCTCGTTTCTCACCATCTCCCCATCTTCTGAAATCCAGAACAGAACACCCCAAACCATAGAGAGTAGAGACAGAGGGATTGCGCCGAGCCTACAGACAGAGTCCAGTCCATCGAGGGTAAGGAGCTTGAAATCGTGTCGACTTTTCTGGGTTATTGATGTCTATACAGACATGCATGCATGAAATCGAACTCTAATTGGGGTTTTTTCCCATTGTTCACTCTTTTTTTTGGCCAGGTTGGACTCGTTTGAATCGCTATTCGAGGGCTGGATCGCAACAGACAGAGTGAGTGATCAGTGAGCACTGAGTAGTGAGTTGTGAGCATCAGTCCACTGTCATTGGGTACTCGATAGTCCACGGAAAACTCAAAGCTGAGAAGAATGTAATCACGTTCTTGAGCTTCAATCTATTGTCATTTGTCAGTGAGCTGTTTGTTCATTGTTGTGCAACTTGTTGTGAAAATCTATGACTTCATAATGCTAAGAAGTAATAAGAATTAAACTGTAAATCTGTAATCTTGTTTTTGCTGCAAGCCTGCAAATGGTGTCTTGTTTGCTAGTTTAGTCTTGTTTTTTTTTTTTGTGAATGTAACTAAATTAAATTAAGGCCTAATCTAATTAGCAACACATAAATCGATTATTGTCAGATGGAAGGTGCTATGAATGTTGAACCTACTCCTACTGCCAATGTTCCTGAAAATGTTGTCCAACCTCAACCTAAACAACCTGCTGCTGATGCAATTAATCCGGTTAATGGTAATGATGAGGAGCTGGAATCTCAACGTAAGTTAACCTCTAATGTGTGGCCTCACTTCAACCGTGTTAGGATTAATGGGGTTATGAAGGCTAGGTGTAAGTAATGTCGTAAACCCCTTGGTGGGGAAACCAGTAATGGAATTTCACACCTAAGAAACCATATCAAAACATGTATCCAAAAGATGATACATGATGGTTCTCAAAAAATACTTGGCCACAACTATCAACCTTCTAGAAATCCTCAACTCTCTGCTTCTCAGTACAATTATGAGGTTTCGAGAAAGGAACTTTGTTCCACGATTCTGGTCCATGAGTACCCGCTTATTCTTGTTGATCATGTGGGTTTCAAACGACTTTGTTGTTCTCTGCAACCTCAATTCACTGTTCCTAGTAGAAACACTGTCAAAAAGGACATTTTGAGTTTGTATAGTGTTGAAAGGGGTAAATATCATACCATTATTGATGGTAACCTGGGGAGGGTTTCAGTGACAACTGATTTGTGGACTGCCAGAAATCAGAAAAGGGGTTATATGGCAGTAACTGGTCACTTTATTGATAACTCTTGGAAGCTCCGTAACATAATGATGAGATTTATGTATGTTCCAGCCCCTCACACTAGTGAAAGGCTTGCTGATAGGTTGTTTGATTGTCTTTTGGATTGGAACATTGATGGTAAGTTGTCCTCAGTCACATTGGACAACTATACCACCAATGATTCAATGATTTTCCACATGAGAAATAAGCTTCTGAGCAGTGACTTGTTGCTTGATGGTAAATTGGTTCATATGAGGTGTTCTGCTCATATTCTGAATTTGATTGTAAGGGATGGTTTGGATGCAATCAAGGATGCTATAAATTTGATTAGGGAGAGTGTAGTTTACTGGAATTCTACACCTAAAATGGTTCAAACCTTCTTCGAAGTTGCTAAGCAACTTAAGCTGTATGTTGAGAAAAATTAGTCCTTGATTGTCCAACTAGGTGGAATTCCACCTATCATATGCTCTCTGTTGTTGTTCCATACAGGATGTTTTCTTTCGTTTGAGTTTGAGAGGCAATCATTACACATCAGTTCCTTCTAGTGAATAATGGGAATTTGCTTCTACAGTGATTGGGAAGCTGGAAATCTTTTTTGAGATTACTGAGTTGTTCTCTTGTTCCAAATAGTCGACTGCCAATCTTTTCTTCCCCAAGATTTGTGATCTCATACTTAAACTGAATGAGTGGGGTCTTGATCCCAATCCTGTGATTTTTGGAATGGCTAGTCAAATGTCACTAAAGTTTGATAAGTACTCGGATGATATCCATCTTGTGCTTGTTGTAGTTGTTTTCGATCCTATATATAAACTCCATGTGATTGAATACTATGCTGGAAAGTTTGGGAATACAGAAACTGGTTTGGTTGCTGAGAATATCAAGCAAATGATATGTGGTTTGATTTGTGATTATCAAACCAAAGCTGAGAGGAAATCTGGTTTTGAAACTGGAACTTCTTCTTCTAGTTCTAGATCTGCCTCTGCCACTGAACTTGACTTTGAACTCTTTGTAAGTCAAAGGAAAAAGAGTAAGACTTCCTTGATTACAACTGAGTTGGATATGTATCTTGCTGAGGATATCATTCCTCGGACAGCAGAGTTTGATTTGCTCTTGTGGTGAAAATTGAATGGTCTGAAGTATCCGACCTTGCAATCAATTGTAAGGGACTTTCTGACAATCCCTATTACTTCTGTGCCTTCTGAGAGTGCATTTAGTTCTGGTGGGACGTTGTTAGACCCTCACCGGAGCAGGCTGCATTATTTGACTGTGGAGGGAATGATGTGTACTAGGAATTGGATAATGGAGGATATGCAACGAGGTAACATGCAACTGAACCTCTCAAGTTCATTGCAAGTTTATTGGTTTAAGTTTTAACAATAGTATCAACTCATTCAACTGGTTTTCTGCATATTCGGTGGCTACTGTGGAGGCATTGGAGGGACTCTTCTCAGCAATGACAGTCGAAGATACAACTGTGGAAGAGGCAGAACCTGGTGGTAAGATCAATAGATCATTATTTCATAGTGTGTTCTATTAGTTCTTTGTATTACTTCATTGAAACATAGTTACATTTGCATTGTTTCTCTTTTTTAGGTCCAGAACTCACCTTAATGAGATCACCATTTGCCCATGAAGACTGATTGGTTATCTACTGTGGGACCAAGGTAAATGTCTTCTTTATTTGTTGATGCAAACGTGTTATTCATTTAGTCTTTACTAACTGAATTATTCCTCTTGTGTGTTCTTTATTCAGTTTCAATTGATGTCTGCTGGTTTACTTCGATTGGAATGAGGGTCAGGGGTGGTCGGGTGGATGATTGCTCAATGATTCGATGTTGCTGGAACCTGGATGGAATGTTGTTGCGCTGCTGTTGCTTGCAGCTATTTCAATCTACTGTTTTTGGATAAGAATTAGACATTTAGATTTTAGAATTTAGACTCGGCTGATACTTTTTGGTTGTTTGGTTCATTTGATCATTTCTATCACAATTCACAAACACGGAACAAATGTTGTTTTTGGTTGTTGCTGAGCTGCTGGTGTAGTGGCGTTAATTGCAGCTTGGCAAGCTTTCGTTTGTTTATTTCAAGTCTTTTTGACAGATCAGTCAGTATGAATAAAGTGTCCAGATTTCCAGAATTTTTTTGTCAGTTTCAATTTTTTCCCCATGTTTTCTTAGCGGGTATAACGGACCCGCGGGCACCTGATTACCCATTAGGGACGGGGGTGGTTATCCAACAAGACCCGCATGTCCGTTTGGGTCGGGGACGGGGAAACCCGAGGCCCATGGTGGGTGGGCAACGGATCCAGGGTACCCGGCCCCGATCCGCCCCGTTGCCACCCCTAACTACCATACCGTTAGAAAAGCTTTTTATCAAATTAGTAGGTAGTATTTTAGCAGTGTTGTTAAAACCGAACCGGACATCGATCAGGATTAGTAAGAGGTTCAAAGTTTATTGGATAACCGATAGTTAACCGGTATTAAAAACCAGTCATAAGCCGGTGTTGGCCTATAATATCTCCACTCTAGTCTCTACAAATAAGGAAGAATAGAGAGAATTAATAAATTCAAAACTGAAAAGTAGAAGCGGTAGGCGACTGTTAGTGCTATAATATGGCAGGGTAACGGGGATGAGAATTGAATTTTATCTCTTTTTTATTTCATTTACTATGTAAGTTACTTTTTCACGTTGTCTTGGTTGCCTTGATCATTGTTTCAAAGTAATCAGAACTTCCGGGACCGGGTCCAGATTTTTCCGGTCCGACCGGCCCGGGTTTAATAACAATCTAAACAAATACAATATAGAGGTTCTGTAAGAGAACCTCATTAATCCAAATTTCCCTGCATGCTGCGCAGAGTACGGAGGGATGTTTAGGTCAATTTCTTATTTAATTCTTTTAATCCACACGGGCATAGAGAGCAGAGAAGGAACGAAGGGGCCTTATTATGTATGGGCCAGAGTGAACATAAAAAGCTTTAGTTTATGTGTGCACGTCTTCTTGATTTTTTAAATTCACATTACCCATATATAATTCTAATGGCCAATGCCCAATGGCAATTATAAGACTATAATTGTCAAATTTTCATCCTTACAAGTTTATACCTAAACTTTTTAAGTTTTATAAATCGGTCAAATTACATATATGTAGTTTAAACATACTCATATAATGGGTAAACTCATACCCAAATAGAATATAATAGCAATGTCTGCATCCTATAAAATCTATTCCAACAATATTTTCATATAAACTTCACCCCAAACGTTACCATAATCAATGTATTTGGATAAAATTACCTATAAGTGACGACGATATACCAATTCCTCCAATGAAAAGCACAGGAAAGCCTTAACAACCAATCCCAACCAAAACACTACATGAGCTCAATCAATTAAGATGAAAGATGGAGAAAGCATCAACTTCGGTTCAATCCAATTGAGTTGGGTATGAAACTTAAATACAAGGCAATTGTGTATATATTTATAGTTTTATACACATACTCACTTATTTGAGTTTATTCCAATTTTTAAATTATGAATTTAAGTTAGTACCCATTACCATATGAAATCAAGATTTTGGTACCTTTTATATTTTAAAATATAGTACCTGAAATTAGTTTTAGGCATAAAAGTCATAGAAATCATTGAAACAATTCATTCGTACGTAAAATTTTCATACTTAAATTTTGTAAAATTTACAAATCAGTCTAATTGCGTATTTGTAGTTTAAACATACTCATATAAATGAGTAAACTCATAAACAAATAGAATACAATAGCAATGCAAGTACCCTATAAAGTCTATTCCAAAGATATTCAAATTCCTTTGTAAAAAAAAATGATATTCAAATTCATATAAACTTCACCCCAAATGCTACCATAATCAATATGTTTGGATAAAATTACATATAAGTAGATAGTTATCATTACTAGAAATCATGCTCTTTTCAATATGATTCACCAAATCCACGCAATTTACGGTATGGGCTCTTATAGTCTATACAGGTGTAACTTTTACATAGGCATTTAGCTCAGTAAACAGGGCCCTTACGAGTCATTAATTTTGGCTCAATGTGAAATTCACAACAATTTAATCTTCGTATTTGTTTATGCGTTATAAGTTGGAACTTCAAAGAACAAATAGAGATTAATTAACACTCTTTTTTGGTGGATAAGGTGACGAAGATGCACCAATTCCTCCAATGAAAAGCATAGGAAAACCTCAACAGCAAATCCCAACCAAAACACTACATGAGCTCAATCAATTAAAATGCAAGATGGAGAAGAGGTAAGCATCAGCTTCAATTCAATTAAATTGAGTTGGATATGAAACTAAAATACAAGGTAATTGTGTACATATTTATAGTTTTATACACATATCCACTTATTTGGGTTGGTTCAGACTTTTAAATTATGGATTTGGGTTAATACCCATAACCATATAAAATCAAGATTTTGGTACCTATAATATTTCAAAATATAGTACCTTAAATTAATTTTAGGCTTAGAAGTCCTAGAAATCAATGAAAAAATTCATTTCGTACGTAAAATTTTCATCCTTACAATTTTATACCTAAACTTTTTAAGTTTTACAAATCGGTCAAATTGAGCATATGGAGTTCAAACATACTCATATAAATGGGTAAACTCATACCCAAATAGAATGTAATAGCAATACCCGTACCCTATAAAGTCTATTCGAATGATATTCAAATTCATATAAACTTTATCCCAAATACTATCATAATCAATGTGTTTGGATAAAATTACCTATAAGTGGATAGTTATCATTACTAGAAATCATGTTCTTTTTCAATATGATTCACCAAGTCCATGAAATTTACGGTATCTGCTCTTATAGTCATTAATTTTGGGTCAAGGTGAAATTCACAACAATTTAATCTTCGTATTTATTTATGTGTTATAAGTTTGAGCTTCAAAGAACAAATAGAGATTAATTAACATTTTTTGTGTGGATAAAGTGACGATGATGCACCTATTCCTCCTGTGAAAAGCACGGGAAAACCTATACAACCAATCCCAACAAAAACACTACATTAGCTCAATCAATTAAATTGAAAGATGGAGAAGAGGTAAGCATCACCTTCGATTCAACAACCCATTAACTATCAAATACTAACACTTTCAGTAATATGTAGGAAAATATATATTCCTTCAAATGCAAAGTTTTCAGGATTAGGAATGGGTACTGGTGCTATGCTGGATGCGGAACCTGCCCACAAAAGCTATAAGAAGACTCTGACGAGTACTTCTGTGGGAATTGTACAACGACATAAAAAATGACAACATCAAGGTAATGCAAATCATTATTAACATGGAATTTTATTTGTTATAGTTTGTTGATGGATATACATGCCAAGTGATTGAATATTTAATTTTTTAAAACATAATTTATATGATTTTTCATAAAATTCAAAGATTAAATTACTAATGCATCAAAAAGAACCTTTCCCTTAATAATTAGCAATGCATGGTAGTGATACAAGTGGAAAGCTTACATGCATATGAAATAAATTAAATATGGTTAAAATAAAGAGATTCCATGATATTGATTTCTTAGATTAAAAATGGACATGAGGCTATGTTTTTCATCTTCTACCCACATGTCTTACCTTATGAGACAATTTTTGTATTATTGATTGAATATTTTTTAGATTTTGCATTTACGACCTAAAAATAACGTGTACTTCAACAATTTACATATTTTTATGTCATTATCATCATTATACAAAATCAGGATCAACCTTTGAGTGGGAGCTCAATTTTTTGGAATGTCGGCTGCTATTCCAAGACAATGATAGAAGTAGAAGACTACCACATGCTCATCTTCTACAAATTGTGGGAATGACGTTGAAGTTTTACATCAAGCTCACAGATTGCAACATTGCTAATCCAACAAGTGAGTGCGCAATTATCAAGATATGGAAGGATGAGGAAGAGCAAACCACCGACGATCTTCCAGACTTGATCTAGGTAAATTCTATTTGAATCAAAATAATGAGCAATATTAATTACAAATTTGTGTCATTCTCTATTGGATTTAGATTTTTATACCATGTACGGGTCCTACTTAGTTACATTATATAATCTTATTGATAACTCCAATGGGCAGTTGAAGGGAGCTGATGTTTTAATGAACAAAATTAGTTTGGATGGATTATATTTAAATAATTCAGCCTCCAATTAAAAGGTGAAGAATACCCTTTATTTATTTGACTACCTGTTTGGAAATATAGTGAATTTTGAATTTCGAATCTTGATATTCATTGGGAACTTTGCATCCTTCTCATTGACTTCCAATTAATTGTACCCGCAGACTACAAATTTATCTACAATATATTGAGGAAGATATAAAGGCTGGTGATGGGGAGTTAGAAAAAATCCGGCGTATTGTTCGTAACTTGGACGAGGTATATTCTACTCGAGTGAAAAAGATGACTGGTATTTGTAAATATATTTTATCATCAAATTTTTGTCCTCAATGAAATGCATGAAAACAAGAGCTAACTCAAATGTAAGAGAACAAGGAAGAGTCAATCGATAGTAGAGATAAATATGTTGCTAATGGAGATGACGACATTATTAATTGTGACGATGAGGTGATTTCTCATGTCTGAGAAAATGCAAACAAGGCAAAAAGAAAACATGTAGTAATCTCTGATGATGAGGAGTAATGAGAGTGTCCTTTTAATTTGTCTTTAGGAGTCGGTTCCCTTGCATGAGGTTTTTCTTTGATTGTTTAAAAATTTATTTTAGTTGATTAGTCATTAAAATATTTGAAAACATACAATGTTGATCATTTTGAATTGTTGAACTATTTTAATAATTTGAATTCTCTTATTCTCCCAATAGATTTGAATATTTTGATTATTTGAAAAACTTAGATATTTTATACTACTGCGTAACTCGAGTACATATTGCTATTGTTATTTTCGTGATTGAAAACTAAATCGGCCAACTGGCCGGGCCTGTGACTAGTGGTATTTAGTGTTGGGAAACCATTCAATTACGATTATACTACAGTATAAAATACTATCATACTCTATCGTTGACTTCGGGTACGGTTTTAAAAATATCATATTAACCAATACCGACCATATGATCTCACACTCCTTAAGTTATATACCAACCGGCTGAGATACTTGTTATGAGAGTTTGAGCAGAACTTGTATATCCTACAAGCTAATCAAGATCGTAACGTATACTGTATACCTGATAACCAACCAGCATTAAGTTTCCTTCCATTTAAGGAACTGAGAAGAGGGAGAAGTCTTCCACAATGGAAAAACATAAACCAACCTCATAAAGGGGAAAACAACAATATCCACCCACAAAATTCTTGATAGAACAATAAAAGGCAGATACAAAACTCCACTGAATGTATCAAGTTCGATTCACTTCTTCTAAATAGACTTCACCAACTCTAGTTTAGGAAAACAAACAAAAACTCTCTGAAACACAGGATAATACGGGCACGCTTAAGAAGATGCACCGCTTCGCAAAGCTTGAGACTTCCTTGATTTCCCAGTAGTCGCAACCTGGGTCTCGGGCTGCAAAATCCAAGGAGAAGGTATAAATAAATGAACAGGCTGAGTTCACACTGTAGATTGACCAGTTTTGAGCCACTTCTGCATATAATAAACAACACGAAATAAATTACCTCCTTCTTGACGGGCTCTTCCTTCTCAGACAAGGTAAGCTCAATGTGGCAAGGACTGGACATGTAAGCTGTAATAGGAACATAAAGGATTAATTAACACAGAACTAGACATCGTAGATGGTACAGAGAAAGGAACGAGAGAGAAGAAGAAAACATACGGTTGATCCTTCCATGTGCACGGTAAGTACGACGTCTTTGTTTCTGAGCCTGGTTCACCTGGATATGAGAAATGTAAAGAGCATCGACATCCAACCCTTTAACCTGCAAAATAAGGAAAACATTGCATATTGAAAAATCATATTACTAAAGGGGAAGGAAAGGCAAATAGTTGTGTTCCACAGACTCCGATATGGTTGATTGAATTTTGCATATGCAAGGGGCTGAGCTTCTCAGAATTGGCTCTTCATTTGTTGGCCATAGACAAAAACCAAAAGAACCAACCAAAACCAGGATTTTTTTTCTCAAAATACCTCAGCATTGCTTTCTGCATTCTTCAACAAATCGAGAACAAACTTGGCAGACTTGGCAGGCCAACGACCCTGTCCATTGGGATGACCTCTGTTCTTAGCTTGAGCAGTTCGGCCAACACCACGGCAAAACCTCCTGAAAGGGATTGCCTGCTTGTGGGCAATGACATCTTCCAAGTAACTTTTTGCCTTAACCAATGACAACTTCCTGATGGAAAACGCTGTCTCCCTTGTGTTCTACACATTGATCAAACAAAGAAACACTGTTAAAAACATGAACATGGAGATTTTGCACCTCAACAGAAAACCCACAAAGACAAAAGCAGACTCTGGTACAATTTAATATACGAAATTCTATCTCGTATATGACCTAAACCTAGAAGAAATACAGCCCCATGAATGAAGGGGAGGTGAAACTTTGACTAGCAAATGACTGAATAGAAAAAAGAAGAACAAGCTACAGGTTTGAATGAACATCATAACCTATCTGACGCAACCTACAGAGTTAAACTGCGCCAAACAATGGAAGTCTCATAATCAAGGTGATTTAAGATTAATCTACGAGCTTCCAAATAGATAAACTTGCTCGTCATACAGATTTCTATTAGGAGAATATTTAGTGATTCAACCAAAACAAATTAGGGAAACGGAAGATCATCATTGACGATGAAACTGACATTCCACACGCATAAGAGAGACCCATTCACAACAAAACCCTAACAAAGAGCTTTATTGCACCAACTACATGGACTTAAACGCAAATAGGTTACACCAGCAAGACCATGATTTCAGTTCAACAACGAGGAAATTTCAAATAGCACACACACCTTGAAATGAACACGGAGATCAGAACCCCTAGCCTTGCAAGCTGCAAACACAAAACACCACAGAAAATCGAACCGTCATCTCTCTTACACTCAAACGGAGAACAGACAGAATCATGCTCGTAAAACCCTAAGATCGCGGCTATGAACTTACACTTAGTCGGGTTCTCGGGCTCTTTCGAGTACTTCACCTGCAAAAAACAGAAAAGAACACGGCAAGGAATTAGAGAAACATGAGACTAGGGACAGCTAAGCTCATCGATGGAGGATGGATAGTCAGACAGAAGAAGAAGGCGAAGGAGATCTACCATGGCGGCGGCTGTGAGGAATTGATGACTTGCTGCTGTGGTTTCTGATCTCTCAGCCTCTGCGAAGAGAATAGGTAATTGACGGGGTTAGGATTATATATCGTGCGAACCCTAGGAATACTTTATGGAACTGGGTTGGGCTTCTCGCAAGCCCGATAGCTGAGCTCCTTATGGGCTTCTACGGTCCAAAAGGAACCAAGATTTTCTAAAGCGGACTGGCTATATGAGTCCAAGTCTCCAAGAGACGAGCATGGAATGAGATCAAATTGATTGCAAAGAGATATTATCCTGGACGGATCCAGAAATTTTACATTGTATAATAGTGTACTCTTCAAAAAATAAAATAAAATAATTAGTAAAAATTATAACATTTTTAAATAAAAAAATACCAGCTCGTACAAGTTAAAAAAAGTCAATGATTTATTTTCATATTCTAAAAAATTTATAAAATATACTTGGTGTCTACACTGCTCAACAAATTTATCTCAGTATATCCTACTAGACAATCATTTACGAACTTACGCATATTTGACTTATAAATTTGTTCATGATGTAACTCAAAGCTGAAAAAACACTTTCAACACTTGTCGTACAACAATAAAAATCAATACTAATTAAGAGTAGCTTGTAATTAGATTCATTGTTAGGTTTTGAAAATAATTAAAGATATGTAGCCTAATGGAAATTATATTTATTAGTAATAGTAGTGTCCCGGGTTTGAATTATCCAAACTACCACTTATATTCCCATACACAAACTACAAACGAGAGTAGTATAATCGATCTTTCAATTTTTAGGGTGTCCTGGACTATTAGTTATAATTTTTTTGTGTATACGTAAATTACCACCGGAGGTTGGATAATCAATCTTCCAAAATTTAGGGGTGTCCCGAGACACCCCTAAATGTCCCTGAGTCCGCCCCTGATTCTTATGGTGTCATCTTTCCCGGGTAATTAGCATAAACGGTCAGACAACTTATCACTTAGTACAAAATGGCCATTAAAATTCAATTTTGCACGTTTAAATAAAATATGTTTGGATGAATAACAAAACGGTCATTCAGTCCATTTCCATCCAAAAATCTGTTAATTCAGCCCAATCAACATGCCACATCATCCAAAAAATTAATAAAAAATCAACTAGTCAAACCAATTAACCCAACCAAATCACACCCAACCCCGGTCAAATTCTTTCCAACCTGTGGCCATTGTCAACCTTCTTGTTACTCACCTCCCACCCCGTAGCGCCGCCGCCAACGCTGCCACCATGCTCTTCAAATTCGTCTTCGCTCCCTCTATCCTTCAATCTCCGCCCTCTTTTCTTGTACAAAATTATACAGATCAAAGAGTACCTAACAGAGTGAAATCGAATTTCATCTTCAACGGTCATCTGCTTCTCCGTCGTCGTTTGCCTTCGTCGCTGATATGATACCGCTGCGCTGCCGTTTCACCATCACTAAGAAGATCCACTTGCTCCGCTGCCGTTTCATTTATGTTCTCCGAAGAAGCTGATGATGCGCTGTCGTTTCCTTATTTCTTCTTTGAGCTGTACTTTCTTTTACACCAAGTCAGACTTGGTTTCCTTTCCAAGCTACCAAACAATGTCCATGGAAGCTTGTCTGTTTGTATGGTTTGCTGAGCCTATAAGAGGCGAATTTGATGAATAAGAAAGCAAGAACTAGGGTTTTCAGTCTCTCCTTCTTCTTCCTTTGTTATGGTATCAGAGCCTGGGATAAAACCCTAGCCGCCACCCCTCTTTTCCAATGGCCTATAATCAAGCTGAACAACAGCAACAGCCAGACCCTCAACCACAAGATCCACCAAATGTTCTTGATCCTGCATCTGACCCCTTCTTCCTCCATGGTTCTGAGCAACCTGGATCCCTTCTTGTTGCTGAAAAACTCACAACAACCAACTACAATGATTGGAGCAGAGCTATGCTCAATGCCCTTGCAGCCAAAAACAAGCTGGGGTTCATCAATGCTTCCATCCCTGAACCACCACCCACAGATCCAATACATGGAGCTTGGACACGCAACAACGTCATGATTCTCAGCTGGATCCAGCAAGTCACTTCTTCAGAGATTCCCAAGACCATACTCTCCAGTAAAACAGCAGCAGAAGCTTGGAAAAGTCTTCAAACCAGATATGGATCTGGTGATCTTATTCGCATTGCAGAGCTTGAAGAAGCACTCTCTTCCCTGCAGCAAGGTAACCAGACTGTAACTGAGTACTATGGTAGAATGATTACTCTCAAAGATGAGTTAGAGAATTATCAACCTCTACTGCCATGCTCTTGTACTCCAACCAGTCACAATACCTGTGTTGCTATGCTAACTGTTCATAAGTACCAAATCTCAGAAGATCAGACAGAACAATCAAACCTCCTTCTCACCTAATCAAAAACTACCACTGTTACCTTGCACAAGGTCCTAGCAGTTCCAATCATCTCAACCTGCAACAGATCCAAGACAATAGGTACTCTCTATCTTCAATGATTTCTTACAACAATTTGTCTGATCCATTCAAAAGGTTCATGTTAAACATTTCCAGTCATCAAGAACCACAATCTTACAAAGAGGCTTCTAAGCTTGATGTCTGGAATCAGGCTATGCAACATGAAATTAAAGCCTTGATCAAAAATCACACTTGGGATGTTGTCTCTTTACCACCTAACAAGAAACCAGTTGGCAATAAATGGATCTACAAAGACAAGTTTTTATCTGATGGCTCTCTGGAAAGACATAAAGCCAGGTTGGTTGCAAAAGGAAATACACAGCAGGAAGGCATTTGCTCCTGTTATCAAGATTACTACTGTCAGAACCTTCCTAGCTATTGCTGCTCTCAGAAATTGGCACATTCACCAGTTGGATGTAGACAATGCATTCTTAAATGGTGACTTAGAAGAAGAAGTCTATATGACATTGCCTAAAGGATTCACCCCTCCTCCTGACATTCCTAATCCAGTCTGCAGGTTAAGAAAATCCCTCTATGGCCTAAAACAGGCATCCAAACAATGGTTCTCCAAGCTTACTGACAATCTCCTACAATTTGGCTATGTCCAGAGCAAAGCTGATCACTCACTCTTCTTCAAAGTCACAGAAACTAGCTACACATGCATCCTCATCTATGTTGATGACTTGGTTTTGGGAGGCAATGATTTGGATGAAATTCAAGCCTTGAAACAGGTTCTACATTCAGAATTCAGCATTAAAGATCTTGGCAACCTAAGGTTCTTTCTGGGCATTGAAGTTGCAAGAAGTAAGACAGGTATACATCTTTCCCAAAGAAAGTACACATTGGAGATTCTGGAAGAAGCAAATATCATTAACTCAAAATCAGTTTCCACTCCTATGGATTACAAACTACATCTCAGCAATGAAGTTGACATTCCCTTTGAGGATCCATAACACTACAGAACAATAGTAGGGAAGCTCATCTATCTCACTACCACCCGCCCTGACATTAGTTTTGCTACACAACAACTGAGTCAGTACATGTCCAACCCATCACTCACTCATTACAAAGCTGCTCTCCGAGTGTTGAGGTACCTGAAAACTGCACCAGCTACAGGTTTTTTCTTCCCATCCCAAGGTTCTTTTCATCTAAAAGCATTCACAGATTCTGACTGGGCAGCCTGTGTGGATACAAGGCGCTCTACAACTGGGTTCTGCATCTATTTGGGTGATTCACTCATCCCATGGAAAAGCAAAAAACAACATACCGTCTCAAGATCCTCTTGTGAGGCAGAGTATCGAGCTCTCGCCTTTACTGCTTGTGAAATTCAGTGGTTGCAATACCTTCTTCAAGACTTCCAGGTTCCTTCTTCAACACCAGCATCCTTGTATTGTGACAATCAGAGCGCCATCCACATAGCCGAATCCCACCTTCCATGAGAGGACGAAGCATATCGAGCTCGACTGCCACTTTGTCAGGGAAAAGCTCCAATTGGGAACACTCAAACTCTTGCACATCTCCTCAGCACATCAATTGGCCGATCTCTTCACCAAACCACTCTCCCCTGCACCATTTCTATCTCTGCTCTCCAAGCTTGGTGTGCGAAACCTCTGCCCACCAGCTTGCGGGGGGTAACAGAGTGAAATCGAATTTCATCTTCAACGGTCATCTGCTTCTCCGTCGTCGTTTTGCCTTCGTCGCTGATATGATACCGCTGCGCTGCCGTTTCACCATCACTGAGAAGATCCACTTGCTCCGCTACCGTTTCATTTATGTTCTCCGAAGAAGCTGATGATGCGCTGTCGTTTCCTTATTTCTTCTTTGAGCTGTACTTTCTTTTACACCAAGTCAGACTTGGTTTCCTTTCCAAGCTACCAAACAATGTCCATGGAAGCTTGTCTGTTTGTATGGTTTGCTGAGCCTATAAGAGGCGAATTTGATGAATGAGAAAGCAAGAACTAGGGTTTTCAGTCTCTCCTTCTTCTTCCTTTGTTAGTACCCACCAAATAGAACACCGCCAGCTCCCAAACCCACCAGCAAACCAACTCTGTTTTCTTCTTTCCACCGATTGGACTAGGATTACTCCCATCACCATTATTAGGACAAGAGGACCATAAAAAAATCCAAGCATTGCTCTTCCGTCCACCCATTATATCTCCTCCTACGGTACACTCGTCATGGATCACATCGAATTGATGTCGATGCTGACGTGGCTACTCGGCGGCGCTAGATCGAATTCGTTGCTGAAGAAGTCGAACTTGACTGGGTTGGTGTGTTTCGGTTGGGTTTATTGGTTTGACTAACTAATTCTTTTTATTAATTGTTTGGATGACATGGCGTGCTGATCGGGTTCAATTAATATTAAAAAAACAGATTTTTGAATGGAAATGGTCGGAATGATCGTTTTGTTATTCGTCTAAACATGTTTTATTGAAACGTGCAAAATTGAACTTTAGTGACCGTTTTGTACTAAGTGATAAGTTGAGGTGACTGTTTATGCTAATTATCCCATCTTTCCCGTTTGTTCTGATGTCTTCTCCCATATATAAGAGAAATTAAACACTTAAGGCTGACTACAATGCTCACCCCATTTTTGGGGATATCGCAGTTAATGCCGACTTGAGGATTCCAAAGTGGTCGTATAAATGCAGAGGGGCGCCATTATTGG